GCGCCCAGCTGATGCCGGTACCGGGCCGCGGCGCCCAGCTGATGCCAGTACCGGGCCGCGGCGTAAAAAAGGTTGGGGATCACTGTTCTACAGGCTTCGGAAGGCTTTGCAGGCCGAAAACTAGCCCCCTTTCGTCACTTCCAGTATTTTAGGAAAAACAGGAAGTGATGAAACAGAGCTAGTTTTCAGCCTGCAGAAGCCTGCAGAAGCCTTCCTCAAGCCGTTGGGAGGCTGAAAATCAGCTGTGAGGCACGCGCACGCGCAGTGAGGTAAGTTTGCCTGCAGCTCGTGTGCTGGCACAAGTGGCTTTGTATGCCACCTGTGGCATGCGTGCCATAGGTTTGCCGTCACAGCACTAGACCAACAATCAACAAATAAACAAAATACCCCCATCAAGGAATTACCAACACAGACAAACAAACAGTAACCAACCACCTAGGAACCACCAAGACCACTCCCATCAATGCTGATAGGGCGAGCCACCAGTACATAAAAAAGAAGAGCAAACCTCACTACCTTCTAACACTGATGGTATTTCCTCCTCCTCCTCGGAAAATTACGGAGTGCACCCAAATATTCTGTAAAAGATGTTATCCCTGGGAAGGAAAGGTCCATCAAGACCTCCGGAACTGAGACTTTTCTGATCCATACCAAGGTTGCCTGAAGTATTATTTGCTACAATGCTGCTTACAGGTGGTCCTCGAGTTATGACTGTAATTGAGCCCTGTGTATACGGTTATGAGTTATGATGGTCCAAAACAGATCACCATGTTGTGACGGGATCTCATTCGCAGATGGTTTGGGTTGTGCCTTCCGAGTTCTCTGCTCCTTTGCCAATGAAATGTTTGTGTTGACCTTAACTCCACTTCGGCATTAAGGTTTTCCAAAAACATGGCTGAAGGAAACCTGATTTCGAAAAATGTATCTTGGAAGCCCTTATACGTGAGCTGTGCTCACTACAAAAATCACTAAACCTGAAGGTAGGCCTTTCATTGACCAAAAGGACCAGTCAAGGGGACATTCCAGAAACAGAAATGACAGCTTTATGACCTTCTGTTTGAAGTCCATATAGAACAGGGGTGTCAAACTCAAGGCCCGCAAGCCAGATCTGACCCATGGGGTGCTTAAATCCGGCCTGCGGGGTGCTTAAGTCCGGCCGTGCGACCGGCGTGGACATATCAAGGGACTGGCCCGCAGTGCCTCTGGCGGCTAAAACGGGCTGCGTGCACCCCCTATGCACCTCATTTTCTCCCTCCATGGCCTCCTGCAGCACTCTGCCGGCGGAAAACAGATAAAAAAACAGGCCCCAAATGGGCCCAAAACAAGCTGAAAACAACCCGAATGTCATGCCCCTGTTGGAATCTGATTTCAAGGGGGAAGTTGAACAGCTGACAGGGAATGGGAGTGTGGCTCTGGTGGCTGTGAAGGAACCTGGGGAAGGGTACAGTCCGGCTGGGCAGTCAGAGGAAGACTCAGGGCCACCCCCTCTTCATCCTAGGGCACGCAGGGAGGAACGGATAAGGGAGCAACGTGGGTTATGGGGGAGAAAAAGGCCCTGATTCCCTTCATTAGCTGCAGCTGGGAAAACAGGATAAAAGGGGTGTTTGCACACAGCACCTTGCTGGAAGCAAAGCGTGCATTATTTTGGTTTGTCAAGTCTTATTTGGGTTCTGGCGTCCTCCCAGCTGTGTGTGTTTCGTTATCTTTTGAAGTCTTCAATTCCTTATCCTGCCCTGTCTTGTTAATTGCTGCAGTGTGGTTTGTGTTGGTTTTTATTTATCACTTATATGTACTTTGGATTCGGAGGAAATTTCTTATCTTTATAAACTATTCTTGGGAGAGTTTTTTCTCCGGCCAATGATAACTGGACATTGGGGGCCAAGTTGGAGGCATTAAAGGGACTTTATCTATTTTTGTGACTTTGTTGCTTTTGTGCTACGCGCTGGGTCATCACACTGAAAATGGCCGAAAAATGTTGTTGGCCAGCAGAGTGCTGCAGGAGGCCATGGAGGGAGAAAATGAGACACAGGAGGGCCACACACGGACCTCCCATGCCCCGTTTTGGCCGGCAGAGTACTATAGGAGGCATCCATCTTGCCCCCCCCCCCCACTGCCCCCGCCAACAGCCCACAGAGGAGAACAACAATGCTGATCTGGCCTTGGAAGAAATCAAGTTTGATACCCCTGATATAGAACGACACTAAAAACTAAAACGGTACTAACCATCATAATGTCTGTGGTAACTTCATGGGTTTCTAGTTTCTTGGGAGCAAGACAGATGCTCCTGCTATGTAGAACAAACAGATTGAAGACTAGCAGTGCGCATCCCTGAACACCAATTAGCAGTCAGAAGACATGATGAAAACTGCTTAATTGCACAAGGCATGGGCAGATTTTGCCATAGTTTCTGTTAGGAATAACATGGTTACCTAACGTAGTTTGGGTAAAATAATATATATAAACTATGATAGTGAGTTTATGTGTGTGTCACTTTAACTGCAAAGCATGTAATTTTGGGTGCGGCTGTAAATCGCCATAAGAGGGAGCAAGAGAACTTGATTGATTGCTGGCTTATTGGATTGCTTGCTGACGATGATGGATTGTTAACTGCGTGTTCTCTGCTGTTGCTGAAGGAAGAAAAGGAGGTTTTACTTCTTCATATCTCTACTGCGAAGAGATATATTGCTGGACTGATTTTGTAAGTTTACTGACCTCTTTTTCGACACTGGACTTTGCAACTGATTAATCCTCGGACGGACTGAACTAGTGTATGATATATGGACTGTTTGACTATGCTATAAATCTTACTGGAATAAACTATTTAACTAGCACATTGTATCTGTTTTACTGAGTGTAAACTACAACAACGTTTATCTCACATATTTGCCTGCCTGCCTGACGGCCGTGCAGGTTCTGCTAGGGTGTATATCCCTAACAGTTTCAACTGGGAAACTGTGAGCATCCTAGATTAAGCCAGGTCCAAAAACACTAGGGAATTTCTAGGAGCCTGGCGTCAATCGGCCATCAACAGGCACAAAGAGGTAAATAATGTCTACACACCATTCAAAAGAGACTGTAAAAAAACTCAAAGAGGAACAGAAAGACCAAAACCTCCTTGCCAACAATCAACGGTCATATGAGTAAAGACCAGGGGTGGGATTCTAACGGTTCGGACCGATTCGCCTGAATCCCTTGCTCCAAAAATCAACTGGCAGTGAACTGGTTCGCTGCAACTATCATGCGGGCCCACCGGCCCGCCCCTACGCTTTACCTACCTATATTGTCTTAGCTGATTAGCGCGGCACAACGGATTGCCGCTTCTCAAGCTGTGTTACTTGAGTGTTACCCATGGGCGCATAGCGCACGGTCACTGAACCAGTTGTTAACCCGGGAGAATCCCACCCCTGGCAGAGACCAACTTCAAGATTAACACTAGATTGACCAGCAAGCCATAATCAACACTCCAATCAAGGAGAATTACCAACTCAGACAAACAATCCAACAATAAACAACAGCCTAATCAAGGAACCTATCAAGATCACTCCCACCAACACTGACCAGGCAGACACCTGTATGTAAAACGAGAGCCATCTCCACCAGGGGTGGGATTCTACCGGTTCAGGCCGGTTTGGGCAAACCGGATGTTAAAGTTACAGCTGGTTCACTGAACTGGTATTTCAACCGAGTGGCTGGCCCCTCCCAGGAGTCTCTACATGGCCTGTCATGCCCCTGTTGGAATCTGATTCTGAGGGGGAGGTCGTGTAGCTGACAGGGAGTGGGAGTGTGGCTCCGGTGGCTGTGGAAGAAACGGGGGAAGGGCATAGTCCAGCTGGGCATTTAGAGGAAGCCCCAGGCCCAACCCCTCTTTATCCTAGGGCACGCAGGGAGGAACAGAGAAGGGAGCAACGTGGGTTATGGGGGAGAAAAAGGCCCTGATTTCCTTCATTGGCTGCAGCTGAGAAAACAGGATTAAAAAGGGTGTTTGCACACAGCACCTTGCTGGAAGCAAAGCGTGCATTATCTTTGTTTGTCACGTCTTATCTGGGTTCTGGCGTCCTCCCAACTGTGTGTGTTTCGTTATCTTTTGAAGTCTGCAATTCCTTATCCTGCCCTGTCTGGTTAATTGCTGCAGTGTGGTTTGTGTTGGTTTTTATTTATTATTTAGATGTACTTTGGGTTCGGACTGAATATCTTCCCTTTAAAAACTGTTCTTGGGAGAGTTTTTTCTCCAGTCGATGATAACTGGATATTGGGGGCCAAGTTGGAGGAATTAAAGGGACTTTACCTACTTTTGGGACTTGGTTGTTTTTGTGCCATGCCCCTTTGGGTCATCATGCGGCCTATTTTTGATGGAGGTAAGTGCAGGGTCTGCGCGAAGGCTCTGGGAGCGGGAAAACGGGCCTTCTGGAAGTCCGGAAACGAGCCTGTTTCCGGCTTCCAGAGGGCCTCCAGAGGCCAGGGGAGGCTGTTGTCGCCCTCCCAGAAGCCCGGGGGAGGCCTCTGGATCCTTGGGATGGCGAAAAGGCCTTCTCTGGGTTCTGGAGGTCCACCTGAAGTCGGAAACAGGAACTTCCAGTAGGCCTCGCCCACCCATCAACTAAGTTGCTGGGATTTTTGAATCCCACCCCTGATCTCCACTCTCTTCTGGTACTGATGATATTACCAAGTTGGGTCATGAAATGTCTCCAAGAAAACCACCAAGCTCAGAGAGCATCCAGGACCTCACGGTTCAAGCCTGAACTACAAAGATATTCTTTTATTGGTGGAAGAGAGTTGAGAGGTCATCTAGTCCAATTCTCCTTAACTTTTTGGTAGCTTGAAGATGTGTGGACTTCAACTCCCAGACTTCCCCCAGCCAAGATCCTGGTGTTGGGAAATCTTTTGAGTTTTTGAAGTCCTCACATCTTGCCAATGTGGAGAAACACTGGTCTAGACCAGGGGGTCTGCAACCTTAAACACTCCAAGAGCTATTTGGACCAGTTTCCCAAAGAAAAGAAAACCCCAGGAGCCAATAATTTAACAACCGGGGTGACTGGGTGGGCGTGGCCAACGCGACGTCACTTCCTCCCACCCAGTCACCTCCTGGTCTGGAATGTGGAGCGAGTCTCCATCCCCCGCCATCACCCTTACCTTCTCAGGCCAGGCGAGGAGTGGTGGGGAGGGGAGTGGTGGGGCCAGCCAGTGGTGGGATCAGCCAACAGGGAGCCACAGCAGAGGGCCAAAAGAGCCGCACGTGGCTCCAGAGCCACAGGTTGCCAACTCCTGGTCTAGAGTCTATAAAGGTGCTAAACTGTGTGAGTAAATAAACCTATACCACACATACACCTTGTGTCAGGGCTCTGGTAATTACCCCCATTTAAAACATGAGTCTCTAGCCGGATTTTCAAAACTTAAAGAAGATGTCAACTCATAAAACATTTTGTATACACGTTTTATAGTTGACAACAGAATGAAGTGGGGGGGGGGGGGGTTTTAAAAGGCAGGGGGCAGTGTGGAATCGAAAGTACATTCCATTCATATTTTCTTCAAAGACTGATTAGATGACTGAAGCTTCTGCTGCGCAAAAATCTAATTGGAGAGCATGATTGATGACTCTTGGCTACGGATGTTTTTCATTGGATGATACACCCAGAGGGGTGGGGGTGGGGGAAAGCAGGATCAAGGGTGACAGTAAATTACGTATCTCAGACTTGGCTACTCCCAGGTAAATGCTGGACATAGAATGTTACCCTCAAATAAATCTTTTTTAGTTAGGCTCGAGGCTCATGATTTAATTGGAGTAACTGCCGGAATCCTGACAGAAGATTTATTAGGAGTAAACATGCTGGTGCTACCTGGGTGTAGCTGACTCTGAGACACATCATTCATTGTCACCCTCGAGTCTGGTTTTCCCCCACCCCCTGGGTGTATCGTAATTCATATCCTCCAATGGGACACCTCCATAGCCCAGAGTCATCAATCAGGCTCTCCAGCTAGAATTTTTGCGCAGCAGAAACTTCAGTCACCTAGGAACTATCTTTCAAAACATTTATGGAATGCACTTTCGATTTGCCAGCTGCTGCACTATTTCCCTGTCCCTTTCTATTGGCAACTCTAAAAAGACCAGAGAAATATTTTATGAGTTGACAACTTGATTGCAAGCAGTGGTGGGATTCAACTGGTGTAACAACCGGTTCGGTGAGCGTGCGCTTCGCACTGCATTTGAAAATAGCAAGAAAACTTACCTTTTACTGAAGCCCCAGTGAGTAAAAACAGCTGGGCTTCAAACAAAGGAAATATAGGACAGGATACCGCAGGGGCAAGTGGGTGGGACCAAACAAATCGCTGGAACTACCGGTTTGCCCAAACCGGTCCGTACCGGCTGAATCCCACCCCTGATGAACAAGCGAACGAACGTTCTCGGTTCATACAACACAGAGACCCATCAACTGCCTAAAAAGCTGGTTTTGTGCAAGAGGCAACATTCTCCTCCTGCATATTCCAGAGAGTTGAAAGTTAGCTAAGACTGTCATCAACCTGGTTAAGACTCCGGTGTTAGTGTTTTTAATTGCCTCTTGCAATCTTAAATCAAGACGAAGAGTGATTAAAAACTCACACATCTGCCATCTCCAGCTTGGAAAATCTCTGGCTCTTACTCTCAGCCCTTCCTACTCTATCTGAACTACGGGGGATAATTACACAGACCTACCTGACAGGGAGAACAGAAACAATGTATAGGAAATGTTTTTACAGGGCCAATTTTCTGCGAAATTGCTCTATATGCTGCTTTATAAATTCTAAGGCTTTCTTCCCCCAGGACTCTGTGGATCTTGGGGGTATTCCGAAATACTTAGATTTAGACATATCTACTCAGCACAAAGCAAGAAACTCGGACACTGTGAGTTCTAGTTCCACCTTAGGCATGAAAGCTGGCTGGGTGACTTTTGGGCCAATCACCAGGAGACGGTGAGTTCTAGTTCCACCTTAGGCATGAAAGCCAGCTGTGTAACTTTGGATCCATCTAGGCCTGCCTTAGGCACGAAAGACATCGGGGTGATCCCTCTCTCTCAGGTCAATCCACCTTATAGGTTGCTCCAAGTAAGGAGGATTAAGTATGTTTGCCACTTGGGTTGTTTATACATACAAAATGCATGCATGAACGCATGCATGAACGCATGCATGAATGAATGCATGCATGAACGCATCTATGAACGCATCCATGAATGAATGAATGCATGAATGAACGCATGCATGAACGCCTCCATGAACGCATCCATGAATGAATGTATACATGCATGCATGAATGAATGCATGAATGCATGAATGCATGAATGAATGCATGAATGCATGAATGCATGTATGCATGCATGAATGCATGAATGAATGCATGTATGCATGCATGAATGCATGAATGAATGCATGAATGAATGAATGCATGAATGAATGAATGAATGATCGATCTACATGTCTTACCTGACTTCCAGGTGTAAAACCAGCAAGCAGGAGTCTGCCATCTCCTGGAAAGATCGAGCCAAATCTGTGAGGGTCTGCAGGATCTGTTCTGACACTGGTGGGAGATCAGCTTTGCTATGAACGTCTTGGGCAGGAGAAGCTGGAGACCAAGAAAAAGAGACATCGGGGTAATGCTTCCCTTTACAAACCAGCCACGTTTCTCTGCTGCTTCAGATGACCTCTACTGTGGGATCCTTGGTGCTGAGCTGGGTGGTTTTCTTGCAGACGTTTCATGACCGGACTAGGGAACATCATCAGTGCTAGAAGGGAGTGGGGTTTGCAGGGAGGAGGGGGAGGAGGAGGAGGAGGAGGAGGAGGAGGAGGAGGAGGAGACTGTGGGGTCCCTTGATGCTCTCTCAGTTTGGTTGTTTTCCTGCAGACGTTTCATGACCCAACTAGGTAACATCATAAGCAGTAGATGGTATGGGGTTTGTAGGGAGGAGGAAGAGGGGAGGAGGAGGAGAAGAAAGAGGAAGAGGAGGATGATTATTGTGGGGTCCTTGCTCTTCTCAGAGGGTTTCTGGTTGTTTCCCTGCAGACGTTTCACGACCCAACTAGGTAACATCATCAGTGCCTCCCACTAAGTTGCCAGCGTTCAAGTATTGGAGGACTGCTATCCTGTCACCCCTTGTCCTTCTTTTCTCTAGACTTGGTATAGCCAGTTTCTGCAACCTTTATGGTTTAGCTCCTTTGAGAGAGAAAAAGGGGGGTGGGGGGTGGGAAATAATAGAATAGAGCTGGAAGGGACCTTGGAGGTCTTCTAGTCCAACCCCCTGCTTCAGGGAGGAAATCCTATACCATTTCAGACAACTGGTTGTCCAATCTCTTCTCGAAAGCCTCCAGTGTTGGAGCATTCACCACCTCTGGTGGCAAGCTGTTCCCCTGGCTCATTTTTCCTTCCTGTCAGGAAGTTTCTCCTTAATTTCAGGTTGCTTCTCTCCCGGATGTGAGTTTCCATCCGTTGCTTCTTCTCCTGCCTTCGGGGGCTTTGGGGAATAGGTTGACACCCCCCCACCCCCCTTCTTCTTTGGGGCAGCCCCTGAGATACGTGGACTTCAGAATTCCTCAGCCATGCAAGGGACGGGACGGGCCCTCTAGGGGTTCACACACAACCCCCAGCACGCAAACTCCCAAAACAGCAATCAGGTTTTCGCAGAGATTTCTTCCCCTTTTCAAAATCTTATGCAAAAAAAAGCTTTTCCGTTTTACCCCAGGCTGTTTTGGCTATTGACTTTCTTTCTTTCTTTCTTTCTTTCTTTCTTTCTTTCTTTCTTTCTTTCTTTCTTTCTTTCTTTCTTTCTTTCTT